CAATCCCTGGTCAGTGCGCAAACAGGAGGCAACTGATCAATGTTTCTCACATTGGTGTTTCTCTCTCAAATCAATAAAAATTATTTTTAAAAAATTTATTCAGTGTTGCAGGGGGAGTACAGGTAAAAGAAAAACAGAAGTCAGTTACTTTGAAGGAAAAGAAATATAATCAGATCACCAGGTGAAGGGAAAAAAGGAAGAATGCCATTTCATCTTTACTTACTTTGACTTTTAGGTCCTCTCTCTCTCTCTCTGCTCCCCCTCAGCTTTTTCTCACCCTCCCACCCCTAGCTTCATTGAAATGTGATTGACACATATCATTGTGTAAGTTTAAGGTAGGCAACATGTTGGTTTGATCCATTTATTAATTGTAAAATGATTACTGCCATAGTATTAGCAACCACCTCTATCCTGTCACATAGTTTACTAATTCTTTAGTGTGGTGATAGCATTTAAGATCCACTCTCTTAACAACGTTCAAGTATATGTGATTCAGTATTACTAGCTATAATCACCATGCTGCACATTAGATCCCCAAACTCATTAATCTTATAACTGGAACTTTGTACCCTTTGGCCAGTATCTAACCATATCCCTCATCCCTCAAGCCCTAGCAAGCCCTCTGCTCTCTGTTTCACTGAGTTTGTCTTTTTACATTACACATATGTGATATCATATAGTATTTGTCTGAATTTAGCATAATTCCCTCAAGGTCTATCCAACTTGTTGCAAACAATAGGATTTTCTTTTCTCATTGATCAGTAATATTTTATTGTGCATATAACCATGTCTTCTTTTTCCGTTCATCAATCAGTGGACAAGGGTTGTTTCTATCTTGGCTATTATGATTAATGCTGCAGTTAACATGGGGGTGCAGATATCTTTACAAGATCTTGATTTCAGTTTCTTTGGATAAATACCCAGAAGTGGGATTGCTGGATCATATGATAGTCTTATTTTCAATTTATTGAAGAACCTCTATACTGTTTTCCATAGTGACTACCAATTTACAATCCCACCAACAATGCACAAGGGTTCCCTTTTCTTCGCATCCTCACCAACACTATTCTTTGTCCTTTTTTTGACAGCCATTCTAACAGGTGTGAGGTTCACTTCCCTGATGATAACTGATGTTGAGCACCTCTTCACCTGCGTCGGGTGGGAAATGTCCAACCCATGGTCCATATATGGCCCGTGAAATTATTTGATCTGTCCCTGCCAATTCAACTGAAGGCAGGACTCGAAATTCAATAAATCTGGGAGTTTTTTTCATAGCTAATTTTTAAGTTAATAATTTAGTATGGCCTGTGAATAATGTAATAAATATCCAAATGGCCCTTGGCAGAAAAAAGATTCCCCACCCCTGATCTACCTATTGACCACTTTTATGTCTTCTTTGGAAAACTATTTCGTTTCTCTGCCCATTTTTTTAATCAGGTCATTGCTATTGAGTTATATGAGTTCTTTACATATTTTGGATATTAACCCCTTGTCAAATATATGATTTACAAATATTTTATTTCATTTCATTGGTTGCTTTTTCATTTTATTGATGGTTTCTTTTGCTGTGCAGAAGCTTTTTAGCTTAATGTAGTCCCACTTATTTATTTTTTGCTTTCTTTGCTTGTGCTTTTGCTGTCATATCCGGGAAATCACTTCCGAGACCAATGCCAATGAGTTTTCCTATGTTTTCTTCTAGGTGTTTCAGGTCTTACACTTAAGTCTTTATTCCAAGTTTATTTTTGTGAGTGGTATAAGATAGAGGTCCAATTTCATTCTTCCACATGTGGTTATCCATTTTCCCCAGCACTATTTATTGAAGACACTCTCTTTTCCTGTTGATATTCTTAGCTCCCTTGTCAGATATTAGTTGACTGTATATGTGTGGGTTTAGTTCTAGGCTCTTAATTCTGTTCCATTGGTCTGTGTGTCTATTTTTAGTTTTGATTACTATAGCCTTGTAATAGAGTTTGAAATCAGGAATATTTTGGCTCCAGCTTTGTTCTTCTTTCTCAGGATTGCTTTGACTATTCAGGGTCTTTTCTATTTCTGTGAAAAATGCCATTGGTATCTTCTTAAGGATTGCATTGAATCTATATATTGCTTTGGGTAATAATAATTCTTCTAATCCATGAACTTGAGATATCTTTCCTTTTTTTGTGTGTCGTCTTTAATTTCTTTAATCAGTGTCTTGTTGTTTTCAGTGTACAGGTCTTTCACTCCTTGGTTAGATTTATTCCTAAGTATTTTATTGTTTTTGATGCTATTGTAAATGAGATTGTTTCATTTCTTTTTCAGATGTTTTGTTGTTAGCGTATAGAAATGCAACTGCTGTCTGTATGTTGATTTTTTTTTTTTTTAATCCTCACCAAGGATATTTTTTCCAGAGAGAGAGGAAGGGGGAGGGAGGGAGAGAAACATTGATGTAAGAGAGACACATCGATTGGTTGCCTCCCACATACACCCAGACTGGGGCTGAGGATTGAACCTATAACGGAGGTACGTGCCCTTGGCTAGAATTGAATCCAGGACCCTTCAGTCCGGGGCCCATGCTCCAACTACTGAGCCAAACCGGCTAGGGTTGTATGTTGATTTTGTATCCTAAAACTTTACTGAATTTGTTGATTAGTTTTAGAAGTTTTTGGTGGAGTTTCTAGGATTTTCTAAATAAGATCATATTATCTGCAAACAAAGACAGTATTCTTCCTTTCCTATTCAGATGCCTTCTATTTCTTTTTCTTATCAGATTGCTCTGGCTAGGACTTTCAGTACTATGTTAAATAAGAGTGATGAGAGGGGGAACCCTTGTCTTGTTCCCGATTTTAGAGGAAAAGCTTTCAGCCTTTTACCATTGAGTATGATGTTAGCTGTGGAATTGTTATATATGGCCTTTATTTTGTTGAGGTATGTTCCTTCTGTACTGAATTTGTTGAGCATTTTGTTCACAAAAGGATGTTGTACATTGTCATATACTTTTTCTGTATCTATTGTGATTTTTATTTTTCATTCTATTAATGTGTATCACATTTATTGATTTGCATATGTTAAATCATCCTTGCATCCCAGTAATAAACTCCAGTTTATTATGCTGCGTGATCTTTTAATGTGCCATTGAATTCTGTGTACTAATGTTTTGTTCAGAATTTTTACATCTGTATTCATCAGGGATATTGGTCTGTAATTTTCTTTCCTTGTAGCTTCCTTATCTGGCTTTGGTTTCAGTTAATGCTGGCTTTGTAAAATAAGTTTGAGAGTGTTCCCTCCTGTTCAATTTTTTGGAAGAGTTTAAGAAGGATTGCTGTTAATTCTTCTTTCAGTGTTTGATATAATTCACCAGTGAAACCATCTATCTGGTCCTGGACTTTTCAGCTTAGGGAGGGTTTTGATTACTGATTTAATCTTTTTCCTTGATATTGGTCTGTTCGGATTTTCTGTTTCTTCATGATTTCGTCTTAGTAATAGGTTGAGTGTTTCTAGGAATTTATTTATCTCTTCTAGATTGTCCAGCTTGTTGACATATAATTAATTGTTTATAGTAGTTTCTTATGATCCTTTGTATTTCTGTGGTATCAGTTGTAATGTATCCTTTGTCATTTCTGATTTTATTTGAGTTTTCTGTTTTTATGAATTAACCTAGTTAAGGTTTGTCAGTTTTGTTTCTCTTTTTTAAAAACAGCTCTTAGTTTTATTGATCTTTATTGTTTTTCTGGTTACGTTCTCTTATTTTAACTTTGAGAATGGCAAAGTTCATTTGTCAATGGAGTACTTTCTACAAATGAGAAGGATGAGTGGGATTACTCCTGTTTCAACAGTCTGTATAATACGGTCTACCCTTTAATTTTCAAAAGCCTTGGCTCTTTAAGTGGGAGTAAAGAAAGACTCAGGAAAAAAATGACCCTTTGTGACTAAATCCCACTGCAGTGTCATGGGAAAAGCCAAGATTGGGGTTTTTCAAACTTTTGACTATACCCACTATAGCAAATACATGTTACATTAGGACCCAGTAAACACATGTAGTCGCAGCTAAAAGTTGCAAGAAATAGCCCTAGCCAGTTGGTTTCAGTGGGTAGAGCATCAGCCTGCAGACTGAAGGGTCCCGGGTGCGATTCTGGCCAAGGGCACGTACCTCATTTGCAGGCTCCATCCCTGGCCCTGGTTGGGGAGCACCCAGGAGGCAACCAATCAATGTGTCTCTCTTACTTCAATGTTTCTCTCTCTCTCTCTCCCTCTCCCTCTCCCTCTCTCCCTCCCCCCCCCTCCCTTCCCCTTCCACTCTCTCTGAAAAGCAATGGAAAAAATATCCTTAGGTGAGGACTAAATAAATAAATAAATAAATAAATAAATAAATAAATAAAGTTGCAAGAAATAATACTTAATTCTAATTATGTACTATGCACTACTCTAATTCTTTTTATTCTATTGTATTTTTTATTCTATAGTCTATTCCAGGATTTTTTGGTTTGGTTTTGCACTGTATTGTTTCTAAATGCTGATCCTAACCCACTAAAGGGTCATAAGTTGCAGTCTGACCAGTACTGACAAGTGGGCAGCACTGGGGTCCTGTCAGAGTTAACTAACCTTCAATGCTGCCCCACCCCTGCAGCCTCCACGCCTCCACCCTGCATTTGTATTCATTCTTGGTTTCCCCACAAATGCTATTCCCAGCTTTTCATGTGACCATATCTTTGTTCTGTATACACTGCCACTTTGTTCGCTGGCTCTGACATGTAAGCCTTACATCTTTGCTCTGGGCAGTGATTGGGTGATGGCTCAATGGCCTGCACACATCCAAAGGATAAAGGGGAGAGGAGGGCTGAAATCAAAGTTTTAGGGAAGGCCTGCCTCCCTGGACAAGAAGCCTGAGCCTGGGAAAGGTTGAGGCGGTGGTGATGGTGCCCATGGCTAGGGGAGGTGGATAGTGTGCCAAAACCAGGAAGTTAAGTTCAGAATTACAGAGTTGTGCTCACTCCCCTTTCCCCCCCGCTTCTTGCTGCCTGCAGGTAAATTCTACTGCAAACCACACTACTGTTACCGACTCTCCGGCTCCACACAGAGGAAGAGACCAGCAGTGACTCCTCTATCTGGAAAGGTAATGGTATCCATCTCTAAATGAGGGAGAAGCAGCAGGCACTATTTATTTCAGTGATATGATAGGTCAGTGTGTAGCCAGTGGGGCCTGCTGAATGGCCACTGAGTTGCCTTTCCTGTTAGTGGGAAAGGCTTGCTGGAGAGGTAGTTGTTGTCCATTTCGGGGAGGGAACCAACTTTGCAAGCCTAATCTAATGCTGCATTTCACTGAAGTAATGTTCTATCCACCACCTGAGTTGGATTTGGAAGACTATGTCAGACCCTCTCTTTTGCTCACTCTATGTAAAAGAAGACTTTTACGTTTGTAAATAAGCATCTCTCTGAGAAAAGGACACCCTAAAAAGGAACTTGGCTGTAAGTAATTTGCTCTGCCTGCCAATTCCTTTCACTTTCTTCCTGTGTGAATTAACTTATCTAAGAACCATTTTTCTTTCTCTTTCTTTTTTTTAAAAGAGAGTAACTAGCTCCTTCCTCTATCTTTACTCCATGATGTCACCTTGTCAGGGAGCAGGCTAGCTAATGCTTCCTTGGGCTCCTGTTGACTGCAGAGGGACTTGTAGGAAAAGGTATACTTGGGTGGAGCTAGATTTTGACTCCTTGTGACTTCATGTGAAATATGTCCTGGTCTTTTAAAAGAAAGACTTACTGTGTGAGGAATATAGCTCTGGGTTGACTGGTGAGAACAAACTAACCAGTTGGGTGTCATTGCCTCCTGAGATTCAAGTACTTCAATCACTCACTCTTCTTTTTCTTGCGGACTTTCGTAGGCAGCCAGAGGACCCCTGCAGGATGGCCCCACTGCAGACGCAAATGGACGGGCCAGTATCATCACCAACCCTGCTGATAGAACTCCAGGTAGCCTCACTTCCTTGTTTGGCTGGGTAGTACATCACTCTCTTGGCCTCTGTGACAAGGCCAGGGTGATGAGCCAGCACCTTCAAAGCAACATTTCTTCGATTGGGCATCAAGTGGCTCAAAACCCTTTGGACTCCTTTTTCATGTGCCAGCTACTTGCATTTGGAGTCCCCTTTCTCTATGGCCTGTCTGAGGTGCTGGTACAAATCAAGGGGGAGTTTCACTGGCAAACTGTGGGCCAGTAGGGGCACCATCTGGTAAGCGTTATCACCCAAGCTTTGTAATGTCTACTCAGTATCTCAAAGTATTGCTTGTAGCCATGGGGCCTACCCACCTGTCAAACACATGGAGGTAGTTGCTCCAGGCTCTATCTAGGTAAATAGGAATTCAGAACAGGCTGCTTTTGTCATTGATCCAGGTGAGAATTCAGAATTACAGGGCCTTCTTGTAGCTCTAGCTTGGGACTCTTGACAGAACATGGAGTTGTGCTAAACCCTATTATCTGGATTTACCTTCACCTGAACTTGAAATATTTGCATCCTATTCACTATTTAGGTATCTAGATGAACTGACACTTCTCTTCTATTTGACCTGTAACCACTAAAGAACATGCCCTGTCCTGATCACTTTGGGGCATTTGAATTTCTAACGAGGATCAAGCCCTAATTTGTCCCACTCTCACTAACCATTTCCTTGTGTCAGGAGGTGAATTACACCATCCCTCCCTCTAAAAACATATTTATTCTGGTCTTTGCAGAGCAGGGCTTAGGGGCTCTGGGGCACTAAACTTGTGAAGAATTGTGTTTTTTCCTCTTAAAATTGCCTTCCCTCTGCTCCATGTCAAACTAGCCTGTGAGATATGTTCACAGTTCTGTAAACTGATGCCCTCAGTACAGCTCAGATTATTCACAGCCCAGGGCTTCTGTGTAAGTAAGAGAGGAAGTCAGCAGGGCTGTGTTTCTGACATCACGTATTTCCTTTCATTCAAAGCAAATATGTCTAAAGCAGCCATTTACAAACTCATAAAAATCACCATGTAAAAACTAAGATTATTAGCTAATGCCAGAAACTAAGGAGAAGGAATTGGGGCTGGGAAAATACAAGAATTACCCACTCAGCCTTCAAATGAAAGGTTCCCAGGGTTACTTCTTTCCCCGTGTATAAGAACTAATGTGAACCTCATTGTGCATTCTGGGAGAGGGAGAATGTGCCAGAGGCTGGATGACACCCTTGGTGCAGTGATCTGGAGGCTGAGACATGGCATACGCCACCTGAGCTAGGTGAACTTGACTCCTTCTCCTGCATGTGCCCTTAATATAACCTGGGGAAACTTTAAGTGCCCTGCAGGTTGGACCAACATGTTATAGCAAAGTTTAAGCCATGAATGACTTTGAAACTTTCTGTAGCCCTGAAACTCTTTATCATCTGTCTCTCTCATGAAGTGTTGACAGCCTTTTGCAGAACATAGAGGGAAGTACTGGCAGAGAAAAATAGCCAAAGGGATCTAGACAGAGGTTTGGGCTCTGCATTGTAGAATGTGCATTTGGCCAGATCTTATTCCAGCAGAGATGGATTTTCCAAGGAACCTGGCTGCTCAGTAAAACAACTCAAAGAAATTAAACTTTCTTTTAGGGTATAGAGTACAGAACATTCTTTAAAAAGAATAAACACAATGAAGTTCAGGTTGTTCCTGAGCAAGCTGCGTTTACTCACTTTCCCTTCTGGTTCCTTTTGCCATTTTATTGTCTAGTTTGAAAACATAATGGATTTCAGGTTTTTAGGAGTTGTAAAGAATTAAAGGTTCCATAGAGAAGGAGAAGAATACAAAGCAGGAAGAGAAGACAAGAGTTGGTTAGGCAGTCGTATCCTTTGCAAAGTAATCCCCCCCCTCGCCCCCTTGATCTTGATAGGAAAGAAAAAAAAGGTGAGAGTTGGCAATGTGGTTAAAGAATCTAAACAACCAAAAATGAATGGCAGCCCTGAGGGAAAAAGCAGTACTCATGGTTCTTGCTTCTGAAGGTGACTTGCCTGTTCTAGCAAAGGGGTTCAAGATGTGGCATCCCAAAAAATGAGACAGGCACTGTCCCCAGTTTAAGGGACACTCTAGGTGGCAGGAAAGTCAGGACTTAGGGCTGATGAGATTCAGTTAGTATCTGCCTCTGGAGACATAAGCTTTTGGAAAACACAACTTTGAGTCTGAACATGTTCCAAAGCAGCAGCACTTCCCCTGTCAGGTGCCTAATTTTGCTAGCCTCTGTAGAAAAGGAACAGAATCATGGGTGGTCTTTTATAGTTGCTATGAAAGAGATTTCTTTTTCTCCTTTGATAGGAATTCCCTTTTTTATGTCCCAAATTAAGCATCGATTAGTTAACTAGAATTTCCTTTTGAAAAGCTTCAGAAAAACTCATGTGCTTTGGCGGTCTCGAATGGGTGTCATAAGTAGCAGTCATTAACCCAGATCCATGGCACATCTCTGCTGTTCTCTAAACAAGAAAAAGCTGTAAATGAATGAACTTAATTCTACCATGTACAAATAAACCATCCCCAGGGATCAGAGCCAGAAAAGCTATGGCTGTAGCTAGCACTTGACTCTGCTGTGCTTTTGCTTTGTGCCATCTCTTTATTTTGTGGCATTTTTCTCCTCTCCCTTATGTTCTTTTCCCCATGTGCCAAAATTGCCACAGTTGCCAAAAAAGCAAACACTACCCACAAGTTAAAAGACCCTACTGTAGGCCTGCCCTACAGTGTTGTCTTTCTCTGGTAACCTAGTCTGTAACTGCTACCTGATTTAGTGTTTGGAGGACATTGCTCACAGTATTTTTGTTATGTGCTTTTAATACAAAAACCCTCTCTTCTGTTCTCAAAATCTGTAACTGCTTTGTTTCCAAGCTTCTTATACTTAACTGCTACCAATTAGTGGACCTGGCACAGATTTTCCTTTCCTGGGCTTCAGACTACTGACCCTGACTTCAGGAAAAGTTTGGACAACAATAGGCAGAGAAAGAGAAAGCCAAATGGGGTATTTTCCTCTTGGATGCAAGACCCTGAATTGCAGGTTTGGGGAATCCTTTATTTGTCCAGAGGAATCCCTTTTACATCTCATGCAGTCAATAACCAAAAGTGACATATAGCCCAGCCGGGCGTGGCTCAGCGGTTGAGCGTCAATCTAGGATCCAAGAGATCACGGTTTGATTCCTAGTCAGGGCAGATGCCTGGGTTGTGGGCTCGATCCCCAGTCAGGAATGTGCAGGAGGCAGCCAATCAATGACGACTCTCTTATCATTGATGTTTCTATCTCTCTGTTCCCCTCTCCCTTCCTCTCTTTGAAATCAATAAAGATATATATTATATATATATTTAATAAAGTATAAAAGCTATGGGGTGTCATAACAAGAAACAGAAGAGCTTCTCTTCTAGTACAGGCAACAAAGATGAGATGGGAGAAGCACTTTAGTTGTATCTTGTCTTATGGAAAAGGCGATCTTAACTAAAAAGGTGCCTAACGGATACCTGGCAGGTTCCTGCTCCCTGTCCCCAGACATTCCTTGCATGATTATTATCAGGTTTCATAGTTTGGATGTTGAATGAGCATTAGGAAATATAGGCATTTCTTCGCACACCAGCTAGAATAGCCATGCTGTACAAGGAATTCCGTTCAGTCCTGGGGTTCCTGTCTGGCAGGAGGAAGTTAGGAAATCTCCTTCCTGCCTCCCCTATAAATCCCTTAGGGGCATTTTTGAAAAACCTATTAGTAGAGCAAAGAGATTTTTGCAGTTCAGTTTAACACCCCAACTCTACCCCAGGAGTCACAGTTAATGGTGATGTGTGGTTATTTATATACACATATCTATTTATATAGATTTAATTTCATATATATGAGTAGATATTTATATATTATGACATAAATAATAACAATAATAATGAAGCTGTTTCTAAAGCTTTTTGTTCCTTGGTCCTGGAAACCGAGGGATTGTTCTTTTAGAGCCATACCACTGGCCTGGCTCAGTGCTCTGGTCAGATGGGGAAGGGGCGGAGCAGCCAGCACACCTGTGACTTGGAGCTTGGGGAGTTGGCAGCACAGAAAATGGACAGTACACATTCCCAGCCTCAGGAAATTGATTCAAGAGCAAACTAGGAAAGCATGGGTTCTGTTGCTGGTGACATACTACAGAGAACCAAACAGCCTACCTTGCCTCTGTTTTGTTTTCAGGCTTAGGTACTTGTTCTACTGGGCTAGTCATTGCAGCTTGCTACTGTCTCTTAGTGTTCGATGTGTCTCTGTAGGACAGTGAAACACTTTTAGCCCCTCCTAAAAGGGGCCCCAGAGTGGCCTTGAAGGTGTGACCTGTGAATTAGTGGGCCCCCTTTCCCTTTCCATTCAGCTCAGGGTAGAGGAAGGGGTGGGGGCGCAGGCAGCAGGCCAGGTTCCCACAGCAGTGGTACAAAGAAGCCTGAGCAAGGGAGGATGAGCTGTGCCCAGGAGTGTGTCCGCTGTCCACCTCTGGCCTTCTCTGGAGCCTTTATTTTGCCCTTGTTTTTAACCTGTGCTGTTGTGAGTTTTTGGTGTGTTTCTTTGTGAGTTTTTTATTTCATTGTGTAACTTTGTTTTTGCTGTTTCTGTGAAACTAAGGTGTTGTGCTTTTAATTTTTTTTAACAAGTGTTACCATTCTTATTTAAGAGAATAAATTTCAAACAATCTTCAGGTTTCTGAGTTTTTCTTTTCCTTACCTTTTTTCTGAATGGAGGGTGGGAAAGGAGGTAGGTCAGGCTGGTCTCAGAGTGGGCTTGAAACCATTGTGGGGTGGGATGGGGCAGCGCAAGGAAAAAGCAGAAGTGTATTAAAATGGGGAAACGGGGTATTTATACCCGAAATATAGATTCTCGTTAATGGCAGGGCCCCTGTACAGGCAATGGGAGACATTTTACCTTGTAGCAGCTGTGGGTAGAAAAGAGCAGGAAACATGCCACCTATGTCCCGTGTTTGGTGAGCCAGCGTGC